CGGAGAACCAGGGACCACCAGGCAGGGATGACAGGAAATGGTACGACTGAGGAACAGGGACCACCAGCCAGGGATGACAGGAAATGGTACGACGACTGAGGACCAGGGACAACTAATCAGGGATGATGGGGAAATGGTACAACGGAGAACCAGGGACCACCAGCCAGAGATGACAGGAAATGGTACGACTGAGGACCAGGGATCACCAGCCAGGGATGACAGGAAATGGTACAACGACAGAGGACCAGGGACCACCAACCAGGGATGAGGGGAAATGGTACAACTGAGAACCAGGGACCACCAGGCAGAGATGACAGGAAATGGTACGACCGAGGACCAGGGACCACCAACCAGGGATGAGGGAAAATGGTACAGCGGAGAACCAGGGACCACCAGCCAGGGATAACAGGAAATGGTACAACGACTGAGGACCAGGGATCACCAACCAGGGATGACAGGAAATGGTACAACGGAGAACCAGGGACCACCAGCCAGGGATGAGGAGAAATGGTATAACGGAGAACCAGGGGCCACCAGCCAGGGATGACAGGAAATGGTATGACTGAGGACCAGGAACCACTAATCAGGGATGACGGGAATTGGTACAATGACTGAGGACCAGGGACCACCAACCAGGGATGAGGGAAAATGGTACGACTGAGGACCAGGGACCACCAGCCAGGGATGACAGGAAATGGTACAACGGAGAACCAGGGACCACCAGGCAGAGATGACAGGAAATGGTACAACGACTGAGGACCAGGGATCACCAGCCAGGGATGACAGGAAATGGTACAACGACTGAGGACCAGGGATCACCAGCCAGGGATGACAGGAAATGGTACAACGACTGAGGACCAGGGATCACCAACCAGGGATGACGGGAAATGGTACAACGGAGAACCAGGGACCACCAGCCAGAGATGACAGGAAATGGTACGACTGAGGACCAGGGACCACTAATCAGGGATGATGGGGAAATGGTATTACTGAGGACCAGGGACCACCAACCAGGGATGAGGGGAAATGGTTCGACTGAGGACCAGGGACCACCAACCAGGGATGATGGAAAATGGTACAGCAGAGAACCAGGGACCACCAGCCAGGGATGACAGGAAATGGTACGACTGAGGACCAGGGACCACCAACCAGGGATGATGGAAAATGGTACAGCAGAGAACCAGGGACCACCAGCCAGGGATGACAGGAAATGGTACGACTGAGGACCAGGGACCACTAATCAGGGATGATGGGGAAATGGTATGACTGAGGACCAGGGATCACCAACCAGGGATGACAGGAAATGGTACAACGGAGAACCAGGGACCCCCAGCCAGGGATGAGGAGAAATGGTATAACGGAGAACCAGGGGCCACCAGCCAGGGATGACAGGAAATGGTATGACTGAGGACCAGGAACCACTAATCAGGGATGACGGGAATTGGTACAATGACTGAGGACCAGGGACCACCAACCAGGGATGAGGGAAAATGGTACGACTGAGGACCAGGGACCACCAACCAGGGATGAGGGGAAATGGTACAACAGAGAACCAGGGACCACCAGGCAGAGATGTTAGGAAATGGTACGACCGAGGACCAGGGACCACCAACCAGGGATGAGGGGAAATGGTACAACTGAGAACCAGGGACCACCAGGCAGAGATGACAGGTAATGGTACGACTGAGGACCAGGGACCACCAACCAGGGATGATGGAAAATGGTACAGCAGAGAACCAGGGACCACCAGCCAGGGATGACAGGAAATGCTACGACTGAGGACCAGGGACCACCAGCCAGGGATGACGGGAAATGGTACACTGACTGAGGACCAGGGACCAGTAATCAGGGATGATTGGGAAATGGTACGACTGAGGACCAGGGATCACCAACCAGGGATGAGGGGAAATGGTACAACGGAGAACCAGGGACCACCAGCCAGAGATGACAGGAAATAGTATGACTGAGGACCAGGGACCACCAACCAGGGATGATGGGAAACATTATGTTGACTGAAGATCAGTGCCAATCGCCACCAACCAGAATGACGGGGAAAGTGGTATAATGACTGAGAACCAGGGATGATGGGAAATGGTACAGCGGAGAACCAGGGACCACCAGCCAGGGATGACAGGAAAATGGTATAATAACCGAGAACCAGGGACCACCAATCGGGAATGATGGGAAATTATATAATGATTCAAGACTAGCTGTCACGTCACCAACCAGGAAGTAGGAGAAATGGTACAACTGAGGATCAGGGACAACCAATCGGGGATGAAGAGAAATGGTACAACAGAAAACCAGGGACCACCAATCAGGGTTGATGAGAAATGATACAACGGAGGACCAGGGACCACCAGCCCAGGATGATGGGAAGTAGTTCAACAAAAGAGGACCAGTTACATCCAACCATTGATGAAGAGAAATGGTAAGAAGACTGAATACCATTTATTACCAAACAGGAATGAGGAGAAATAGTACAACTGAGGATCATGGATGAAGGGTAATTGTAGAATTACTAAGGATCAGGTACCAACAACCAGGGATGATGGTTAATTGCACACAACTGAGGACCAGGGATCACTAACCAGGGATGACAAGAAATGGTTCAACGACTGAGGACCAGGAACCACCAATCGGGGATGATGAGTAATGGTACAAGGGAGGACCAGTGACCACACAACTGAGGACCAGGGATCACTAACCAGGGATGATGGGGAAAAAGCATGTTGACTGGTGTCGGGTAAAAAATGGCTGACTTAAAAGCCCGTTATTTTTTACTCTCATTACCGTTACCGTCATGTTGTACATCAAAGGACCAAACTTGTCTCGTCTCATTCACAAGGTTCTGCACATTGAGCGTTCAAATTTGCTATGACATTTTCCAGGGGTATAGAGAGCGAAAGTGAGCATAACCCCTGGATATCGAGGATGAGTGACCACCAGCTACAGATGTCGGGAAATTTTATAGTGACTGAAGACCAGGGATGCGGAGAAATGGTACAACTGGACTACGGACCATCGATCGGGAATGAAGAGAAATGTTACTATGAGGACCAGAAACAACTAGGGATGAAGTGCTGCAACAACTGAGGACCAGGGACCACCAAGCAAGGATGATGGGAAATGGTACTATGATGGACAACCAGTGAACATCTTTAGCATCAAATAGATCGGGAGAAATGGTACCACTAAGGACCAGGGACCATCAACTGGAAGAATGGGAAATAGGACAATCCACTAAGGAGGACAGGAAATGGTACTTATAATGAACATACTGATTTTATTGTGATATCTATATTTAACACTTTGGTTTATATATGCTAGCTATACTGGTCATAACGTGGCTGTATGAAGTTTTGTTGCAATTGATCTGATGAAATTAGTTCACAGGTGCTTCAAGTTAACATTTTTCATCTTTCATATGTACCTTTCACATGTATACTGAACAAAAAATGAAACGCACAAAGTTCCCCCCCTGCAGTACACCTTGGCTGTAAGGAAATAATGGAATATTTGGTCAGGTATAACATCAAGAACGATCTCCCTTCTCAACAATCTACCCTAAAATCAGCCAAGTGTGACGATGTCATTGTGTGACTTTGTGAGCTTCTTTAGTCCAAATCACGCGGCATGATCAAGCCAAGCAGGAGTTTTTCAAACACATAATCTCAACGGATTCTATAAGTTAAGCCACATTAATTTTCCACTTTGGCATTTTGATTTCGCCATTGACTGAGATGTCACGCTTAACTCAAATTCAGAGGGTAGAGCAATTGCGATGTTGATGGATGGGCATAGCCAAACTGCTGTCGCACGGCAGTTTGGTGTTGACCCTTGTACAATTAACCGTCTCTACACGTTTCCGTGCTACTGGGTTAGTTTCCGATCGTCCCTGGAGCGGTCATCCGCGTGTAACGACCGCACGACAAGACGGCCATTCGATTGTCACACTTGCACAACAGATTCAAGACAGCGTTGCATACCTTAGGTACTCGTGGCAGACCCATTAGTCCTCAAACAGCCAGGAACCGCTTTGGTGCCGAGAGAATCATTGCACACCAACCTTATGTCGGGCCACCCCTGACACCACGGAGGCGGCAAGTGCGTCTTGACTGGATGCGCAGACATGGCCCAAATAGGTTTGGGATGCGTTGATGGAGGCGTGTGATGTTCACCAACGAGTCTAGATTCAGTCTGTATCGCTCGGACGGAAGAATAAGGGTATAACGCAGACGCGATGATCGTTTCGCCGACGCATGCAGGGTTGAATGCGATAGATTTGGTGGGCCTTCTGTAATGGTTTGGGGAGGCATTTCCCATGGGGAAAAATCCCCCTTAGTGGTCCTAGATCAAAATCTCAATGCCGTCCGATACAGAGACCAGATCCTCCAACCACATGTCCTTCCACTTCTCAGACGTCATAACCTAATTTTCCAGCCAGACAATGCTCGACTGCATGTTGCCAGAGTCTGTCATGATTTTCTAACGGCAATCAACGTTCAGCCTCTGGAATGGCCCCCATATAGCCCCGACATGTCTCCCATTAAGCATCTGTGGGATGAGCTGGACAGGCATATTAGGAAACGTCAAACCCCCCCCCCCCAACTAATCGCACCCAGTTGATTGCAGCATTAATGCACAAGAATGGAACAACATTCCCTTAAGGCAAATAAATGTTCTCATGAATTCAATGCATAGGAGAATCTGTGCAGGGATTCGTGCAAAAGGTGCCCACACCAGGTGCTGAAGTGTCATTTTGTTTTTCTCGGGTATCCCACTTTGATTAACTACTGATGACACGAGTGACTCAGTACTGACGTCGCACAGACTTTTCTTCTACAGTATTGTAAAGAGTAGACTTGTCCCTTCATATTGATATAAAATTTCCCAAAATATCATAGGCTATTGATTGCATCATTTAATTGTGCGTTTCTTTTTTTGTTCAGTATACTTCATGTGTCAATTTAGGCCCAATGAAGACTGGTTTTCTCTAGCCATAATGATGTATTCAACTCAATGGGGACCTTACCCATATCAATGACTGATTTTCAACACAAGTTGATATTCTATGCTTACAATTTTTAGTTGTTTCTTTATGCAACATTATGTCTGTTTATTTATACAACAAGAGTAAATGATGCTTTCCTTTTTCAGATTTTTTGCTGAGATTATATAGAAGTGAACCTGGTCAAAGATTCAACTGGAGAATTGAGAGACCATCATCATCAAAGCTTTTTCTCCAAATACTTTGGAAGACCTTCAGGATGTTTGCATCAAAACTAAAACAGCAAATTTTTAAAATCAATAAAAGTGGACATTTCAATCATTCAACTGCAATAATAACAAACGGGACATAATACTAGATGATTTTTTGAGCTGTGTTCTTGTGAAGTGCTTTGACCCTGCAATACTCCAATACTTTGAGGGATGAGCGACTACATGGTCCGACAGAACTTGTAGATGGCCTTTAAGTTGAGTGTGGCCCAGATGTACAAATGTATACGATGAAATATAAGATGTACAAATATATTGGCAATACGATAAAATATATTCTCGTTGCTGTTGCATATTGGAAAAAAATAATGGAACGAGCTGATGTTATTTCAAATGACTCGAGAATAAACATATTGGTTTTAAACTTCCAAGACTTGTATTATCAATTTAAAGCACAACATCATCAGATGCTGGGCAATTAAAACTGCCATTTGTCTGGTCGATCCTTAAACCATTTTCATCCTAAACTATGTCATACAAGTGGTACAAAAGACAAGTTAAGACACTATCCTAGTGTAATGTACATATATGCTAATGTAGCAGAGTGTAAAAATGTACAGGATATACACTAATATAGTGTGAATTAAAAAGAGAATGAAGTCATTGAAACAGAGCTATAATTATGATATTGTAAAAAGTAATGATCTTTTAAATAAATATCAAATATAAAATAAGTAAAGTACTGAAGTATATCGGCAAATTCAATAACAAAAGCAACAGTGAAGTTCAAAGAGTTGTAGAAGACGTGTAAGTCGATTCCAAAGGGGGACAACTCGTGACACGATAATTTTCAATAAAACTAAGTATAAAACTAAGTGCTCGTTCCTGAACTTTTTCCATTTCCTAGTATTGGTCAATGTACAAAAATGGTAATTTTCCCAGTCTTTCATTTCTACAAAGGCGAGACATTTAAGAAGTCGATATCCACACCTAAAAGTTTCGCACTATCTTCACAAATAATCTCGAGGTTTTCAAAAGATTTGATAGAGTTACTGGTCTTTTTGTGGTGAATAGCATGATATTCAGAGGTTTATGGTATTTAACAAGCTTCCTGTTAAGGATGTCCAACATGGGGAATAGGTAGTACTAATGTTAACCAGGTCTCTAGGAACAAGGTTAGTATATATACTAGACTGCCACAGCTTCAAATTTTGATCAAATTAACACATTTGACTTGAAACGTCTATAGTTGTAGGGGCTAACCCCAGGGGTGCCAAAGGGAGTAGCCAAAAACGGTAATTTGGTCATAATTATTTGACTCTTCCAATACTCTGTGATGAATAACGTGTATTATTGATCAGAAAAAACTGGGGATGACTCTAACCTAACCAAAAGGAGTGGCATGGGGAAGCTAAAGTGCAGCAACTAGGAAATAGAGATTATACCTTCTTGCTTGGCATGAAAGACTAAATAGTCGTGCTACAGGATTGGCCCCAGATTCTGTCCTGTACCACAAAGTCATGGTATGTTGCTTGCTTCATTGTTAAACTGACCAAGCTGTACATTTGCGTATGGAATTGATGTGCCATTGACATGTCCAGATATTATATACAGGTCGGCTTCAGAAAACGGTAGTCCAGTGACCGAAGGGTTGGGGGGGTTCGTGTTGTGTTTTATCCTTGAGCCAGATACTTCGCTCCGCTTGTTCCAGACTACTCGGCTTCAAATGCGTACGTGATTGGGCAGTGCTAGAATTGTTGAATGCTAACTATGAGCGCTGAAATGGCAGCACCGGCTGTATGCTCCCCATGGGAGTTGAGAAAGATATTGGCTGGTTGCAAAGGCCCTGTAATCACGGATAATAATTTGTGAACCGCTTTGAGACGACCTACGAACTAGGTTGTGATAAAGCGGTATATAAGAACCTCAAATTATTTCATTATTATAATTATTAAAACATGTAAAGTACAAAATTAATGTTGTTGATGGTATTTCTCTGAAATAACCCGAAAGATCATCATGGATTTTTGTACGCTGGTCTGGCCTGAAGTTGACTTGTGAGCCATTGCTTTCTCTTTTAAAGACTTGTTCTCAATTATCACGTAACAGTTTTCAACCAAATTTTGTAGGAAGTGATATTCCTATATGATGGGGATTTGGGATTTGCAAAGCATTGTACTGTAACTTTATAAGTCGTACCCTTGTTAGGTTGAAATTTCTAAGTCTACATCACTCAGGACTATAGGATAGATATATCCTATAACGCTAATATAGAACTAGTCCTTCAAAAATAAGTAGGAAAGAAACAGCCTGCATAACGGTAACATTCCATAATCTTTCAATGAACCCTTGAGGATCTCTTGTAAGTGTTGAAATAGCTAGAGCTACTGATTTACTGACTTTGACAGGAACCATGACAAAACTACCGAGAAGATTTGTTTAAATCCTGTAGAAATTAGCAACATGACTGGTTCTATTTGAACACCAACAGTACTTGTTAGAACAGAAATGTATTTTTATTGGCAATATCGTGTATCTAAGACATGAGGAGTGGAGCCTGTTTGTTTCTTAACTTGACACTTCACCCCAACAACACTTAAACATCCTCGGGGAACTTAAATCCTTTGGGAATTAGGTCCCGAATATAAAGCAAAACGATTTTTTCTGAAAATAAAATTCCACAGATTCCTTTTATTTTGTATCATTCAAATATTTCGCACACATTCATAGATTTTTTACAACATTTTAAGTCTGCTACACATTGGGTCTTTCTACCATACACAAACAAGTCTCATTTATTTCAAACAATTCCATTCATTTAAATACATTTATACAACTTTAATGAAATATTACTTCCAATTCTAGTCATTCTAAGAAATCAAGAATTTACAGGAAATAATTTATACACATAGGTTCAAATACAAATAACAGTACAGGAACTTGACACATAAAGATTTCAGAATGATACAAAAATAATACTGGGTTTTCCCAATGTAGATTCCTCTAAAAAAGACATCACAAAAGTGACGATGTCGCACAATGCATGTTTGGTGCGGTTTTTGTAATTCTTACTTCTGATTGATTGAAGTTGCTTGGCAATGAAATTACAACACAGTTTGTGTTTTCTACTGCAAAATTAATTTAGTTTTCGGATATTAGATACGCTTATAATTATTCAGTCTTTGAACTAAAACGGTGTTGTCTGTCTTTTTCAATTGGGGAATAACCAGGATTAATTTTTAAAAAAAATGGAGGGGGGGCGTTACGGTATACTGATACTGGTAAACCTGTGCATTTTGCATAAACGTACAGAAAATTATTTTGGTTTATATATATAGTATAACCCAAAAAATAATCCTGCGCTTATGTAGAAGGACGAGGAATAGTGATAAAGATAGTGCCGTCGCTGGGGCCCGAACTTGTGACTCCAGCCCAATGCTCTACCACTAAGCTAAAAGGAAATTCCCTACAGCTAACGCTTGTAAGGCAACCTAATCAATCCACATCTTTTACACTATTCCCCCTTTTTTCCAAACACCAACCCTGGTTCTTTGACTCTCCGTGAACGGGGAGGGTCAACGGCACCAGTTTGTAGTAGGTCGAGGAATAGTGATCAAGATAGTGCCGTCACTGGGGCTCAAACCTGTGACCCTTGGCTCTCGAGCCTGATGCTCTACTGCTTAGCTAAAGGGAAATTCACTACACCAGTGCTACTGACGCTTGTAAGGCAACCTAATCAATGCACATCCTTGACACTTATTCCTTCAATACACTTATAAATAAACAAGTGTACCATGGATTGTACATGTTATGCTCAGAACTGCAAAAATCAAGAACAAATCTAGTTTTTTAACAAAAGTTAGCATCGTTAACAGTAAATCTGTACCAAATGTGGTGACGAAATGAAAACCATCGGCCAATCATATCTAAAGAGTCGACCTTGAATGACCTCGGTGTTTAAACAGCCAATTCATATAAAAAGACGAGTATAACATGTTTTTTTTATAGTGATCTCTCAAAAGTCTTGGTAATTACATGCACATATTTAATTGTAAATGTGGTAGTAACAAAGATGTATGCGACCCAAAGTGATACGTTAATTATCTAGTCTAGTGTCAGTGTTCTGCATCCTCACCATCAGCCAGTCAATAGGTGACTTTGTTTTAGGATGAACACTAACGGATTGATACAAGCCACTTGTCCGCCCTCACATCCACTCTTCAGCCAGATATCCAGGAAGAAGATCAGCACTTTTGGAATGGTACTGAACACTGGTCAGCCCTCTTATCCAGCTTTGAGTCTTGATATCCATAAATGATGACCAAATACCGGTACCCTCAGACTGGTACAGGACAGTGGTCATTCCTCATGAATATCCAGCCTAAAGTATGACGTCCACAAAGATAATCACTGGCAAAGAAACTGGTCATCCCTCATATATCTTCAGCTTATCTGATGTCCACAAAGATGATCAGTACCCTTAGATTGGCATAGGAAACTGTTCAGCATAGACAAGCCTCTCCCCTTGCTTCTCTTCCTCACACATGTCCTTACTGCAAAACAAATAAGGTATACTGGTAAACAAGAAGTATATACATGTACTTCCAAATAAACAAGGTATACTGGTAAACAGGGTATACTGGTAAACAAGTAGTATATACTTCAAAACAAACAAGGTATACTGGTAAACAAGTAGTATATACTTAAAAACAAACAGGGTATACTGGTAAACAAGTAGTATATACTTCAAAACAAACAAGGTATACTGGTAAACAAGTAGTATATTCTTCCAAAAAACAAGGTATACTGGTAAACAAGTAGTATATACTTCCAAACAAACAAGGTATACTGGCAAACAAAAAATATAAACTTCGAAACAAACAAGGTATACTGGTAAACAAGTAGTATAAACAAATACTTCCAAACAAACAAGGTATACTGGTAAACAAGTAGTATAAACTTCCAAACAAACAATGTATACTGATAAACAAGAATTATAAACTTCAAAACAAACAAGGTATACTGGTAAACAAGTAGTATATTCTTCCAAAAAACAAGGTATACTGGTAAACAAGTAGTATATACTTCCAAACAAACAAGGTATACTGGCAAACAAAAAGTATAAACTTCCAAACAAACAAGGTATACTGGTAAACAAGTAGTATAAACTTCCAAACAAACAATGTATACTGATAAACAAGAATTATAAACTTCCAAACAAACAATGTATATTGATAAACAAGTAGTATATACTTCCAAACAAACAAGGTATACTGGTAAACAAGTAGTATGTACTTCCAAACAAACAAACAAGTAGTATATATTTCCTCGATATCCAGTGGTAGTGTAGAGAGCAAAGGTGAGCGTAACCCCTGTATATCGAGGATGGGTTTACTGGAATATAGAAGTATATACATGTACTTCCAACCAGTGTTTGCAGACCAACCAAATAAAAAATTATCTTATTTCATATCATCATGTGAAGATTATGTAATTGTGTAACTGAGTTCAGTTTCATGAAATGTTGTTGAAAATTGAAAAAAATGTCAGGAACCTGTAAACTATTTTCTGCATTGTAAAGATTCTGTAGCTGTGACCTTGACATTGAACGAATGAATTAGTCTTTTAACTTGGCCCCATAGATTGATTTCCGAATTTCATGACATTACGGTTGCACATTTTTTCAGGATCCTGGGGACAAGCCAAATGTTGGCAGAAGGACATTTCAACGAACAGACAGGATGATGACAATATATGCTCTGCCAAAGACTGCGGTATAAAAACCATTTAAATGATTTATGTAAAACTAAACAACAAAAACATATTTTTTTCTAAATTTGTTAGAAAAGGCCAAATTATGAGTCCAAGAGAAAACAGTTTGACTGTTGAAAAACTTGACGGACAGAAAACAAACAGTTAAGTAAGAAATCAATATTAAAATTAAACCTTAATTACTGCCCCTTTATGCATGTTCGGTTTTAGTGCTTAATGAGACTTGGTTTTCAATTTGATGTTAATATCTTCAAATCTTACCACAGTTTAGTCATGAGTTAAAAGGAATGCAATGTGATACCATCCATATGACATTTTTTCACTTAAACACCTTCAGTTTCAGGCAGCAACTGTGAATGCTACAGGCTAATTTGAATCCTTTTCTGTTTTATACCTAGTCCTTTGTATATGAAAAAAACAACATTAACATGCATCTTATAGATTCAGAGTGTTGGTTCATTGTTTTACATAACACTGTGATTATTGAAAAAGTTCTCTTATACTTCAATACATTGTATAATACCTGCATTGCTGGGTTGTCTCCCTTGTAACATTCTCCAGTTGAATAGTGTCTGTAAGGAGCTCGACATTACGCACGCTGCCAAAGAAGTCAGTGAGCAGAACCTTGTCTGGGTCCCTTGGAAACAGGTCTTTGCGTGTACTCACGGTGGAAGAACACTGGGAACGTGGACACACCTTCAACTGCACACAGAGAGCTATCGCTATAGTAACCGGACAGTCTATATGTCGGGAAGTATGTACTAGTATACCATTCATCGAGTTCTCATGAATGTTTCAATGTAATACAGTAACACACTATTCCCTGTACTGTTACAATTTATATAGCAACATAGTTCCAGCTTAGTGTTCGACGTGTATCAATTATCAACTAAGTTCATGTGTAGAGTTCAATGTTATGAAGTTTAGAAAAAGATGTCATATTGTTACAAAAAGTGTTATGAAATAAACAGGAAAGAAACGTTTAACCGTAACAAATTGTTTCCTATTATAAACAGTTACTAAATGATTTAACATTAACCCATTGTTTCACATCATATTCACTGTTTTATGTTTTACATTGACAAGCAGATTCATGTTATAAGAGACAGTAAATCAATGTTTCAAAGTTATAACACCCAGATTCATGATATTAGAGACAGAAAATCAATGTTTCACAGTTATAACACACAGATTCATGTTATAAGAGACAGTAAATCAATGTTTCAAAGTTATAACACACAGATTCATGTTATGAAATAGTAACATATTACATTCAAAATTTTTCTATCGAGGAGTAACAGTTTACTGAATGATATGTACAGTTATAAGAACAATCTACCCAGAAAACACATACATACTAATTTTCCCCCTCTGTGTGAAGAGATACTGAATTCTTCCTCTTCTTTAGAAAGATATACTAATTCCTCCCTCCAGTACATAAAGCAATACTGATTTTTCCTACCTCTACACAGAAAGATATTTATTTCGCCCCTCCATTACGTAAAGATGTACATCTTTTCCCCCTCCACTACCTATTTAGAATACATGTGCCCCGAGTGTAACATCTAAGTAACTCTTTCCCACGTAAGTACACCCAGTGATCCCAAGGTCATTTGTTTTTACGCTGTATTACATTGATTTTGAATTTAAACTAACCAGATAGTGCATAAAAAGGAAACATTTGATCTGATGGTGTTCAACAACATGTCAGCTGATCTTCTGAAAAGCGACATCATCTCAATTGGATTCATTGATAAAAGGTACCCAGCAGTTTTATACTAATGTATTACATTGACTGCCCACATCATAGCTCAGGTATAACTATACACTCTTTCTTTTTGAAGTATAAACTTGACCTGTATCCATACAAAGAAATTAAATCATCCTCTTTCAGCTTACAACCAAATGGGATAGGATTTTCAAGCAAATAAAATGATATTACCTAATTTATTGTCCTGTTTGTGGGTTATTTTGCCCCAAGTTGTATCATGAAAAGTATGGTAACATTATTTAAAACATCAGACCACAGCCTGACCCCTTCAGTTATGTCACGTGTAAACAGACACTTACAAACTGTCCCATAGTCTTCTTGCTCTCAGGTTTGGCAGACTCGAGAAACTCCAGTGCGTAGTAAGTATATCTGTCAATCACAAACACTCCAATGGTCGGGTCTACATGGTGCTGCAATATGTAACATTCATGTCTTGAAATGTTTTAAACAACATTATAATTTATTTATGCTTGATATATTATTTATGTTGAATCATAACAATGCTCATTATTACCATACAAGACTACATAAGTACAAAGCCATATACATTTTGCTAAAGAAGCTGGCTTACAGCAAAACAAATTATTGCCCAACACTTGAGCAACTTTAATCTACAGCCCTAATGTTCTATGATCAATGTTTAAGTGAATTAATTAACGATATCTATGATCAATGTTTAAGTGAAGTAATTAACGATATCTATGATCAATGTTTAGGTGAATAAGTTTGTTACATCCATGATGAATGTATACATAAATAGGTACTTAACTCTATGTTACAAGTAACAATGTGTGGATCCAAGGTTTCCTTATTGAATAGTCTGTGATGGGTTGAGGAGCTACCTTATTGAATAGTCTGTGATGAGTTGAGGAGCTACCTTATTTAATAGTCTGTGTTGGGTTGAGGAGCTACCTTATTTAATAGTCTGTGATGAGTTGAGGAGCTACCTTATTAAATAGTCTGTGTTGGGTTGAGGAGCTACCTTATTAAATAGTTTGTGATGAGTTGAGGAGCTACCTTATTTAATAGTCTGTGCTGAGTTGAGGAGCTACCTTATTTAATAGTCTGTGATGAGTTGAGGAGCTACCTTATTAAATAGTCTGTGTTGGGTTGAGGAGCTACCTTATTAAATAGTCTGTGACGAGTTGAGGAGCTACCTTATTTAATAGTCTGCGATGAGTTGAGGAGCTACCTTATTTAATAGTCTGTGTTGGGTTGAGGAGCTACCTTATTTAATAGTCTGTGATGGGTTGAGGAGCTACCTTATTTAATAGTCTGTGATGGGTTGAGGAGCTACCTTATTAAATAGTCTGTGATGAGTTGAGGAGCTATCTTATTTAATAGTCTGTGATGGGTTGAGGAGCTACCTTATTTAATAGTCTGTGATGGGTTGAGGAGCTACCTTATTAAATAGTTTGTGATGAGTTGAGGAGCTACCTTAGACAGGATAAGTAACCTACTGACAGAGAGTCCAAATGATGAGTTGAGGAGCTACCACAGACAGGATAAGTAACCTACCAACAGAGAGTCCTCGTGATGAGTTGAGGAGCTACCACAGACAGGATAAGTAACCTACTGACAGAGAGTCCTCGTGATGGGTTGAGGAGCTACCACAGACAGGATAAGTAACCTACCGACAGAGAGCCCTCGTGATGGGTTGAGGAGCTACCACAGGCAGGATAAGTAACCTACCGACAGAGAGTCCTCGTGATTAGATGAGGAGCTACCACAGACAGGATAAGTAACCTACCGACAGAGAGCCCTCGTGATGGGTTGAGGAGCTACCACAGGCAGGATAAGTAACCTACCGACAGAGAGTCCTCGTGATTAGATGAGGAGCTACCACAGACAGGATAAGAAACCTACCGACAAAGAGTCCTCATGATGAGTTGAAGAGCTACCACAGACAGGATAAGTAACCTACTGACAGAGAGTCCTCGTGATGGGTTGATGAGCTACCACAGACAGGATAAGTAACCTACCGACAGAGAGTCCTCGCCAATCTTACTGCTGGCCACAGCCAAGATGTTTGGAGAGTAAAATTTGTGGAACATAGACTCCGCCTGGCAGGTGTCAATCATGTAGAACAGCTCATGGTACCTACATCACACAGAACACAGCTAGGATTATCAATTATGCTACCACACATGTTTTATCTCTAACAATTTCATTTTGTTCATAATTTATATTTCTGTCTTATTGATCCAAAAACCTCTACAGCAATACATGGTTAGGACAGTGACAGGACCCTTTGATATTGGGTTATCAAAGGTTAATTTTGGTGTGGTGCAGTTGAGTCTTAGATAATCCATTAGGCAATTGTATGTGATACAGCATATTTGAGATATGACCCAAACAAAGTTTGCATGGAAAACAAATGGCCATAAATCTGTTTATAGTGGGGAAATAGACTCAATCTTTTTTATGTGATACTCTGTCTTTCCTAGATGACAGTATATGAGGTATGCACAGGAACAGAATTGAAGGTTCTGTACGTGCCTCCTTGTGGAAGATTCAGGTAGACAAGTTTGATCTTTTGATGTAAATCAAAAGAAATATGCGGAAGCATAAATTAATGTAAAATTGACCAGCTTTTAAGTCAGGTATCACTTCTCTGTAATCTTCAAAGTGCAGGTAACAGCCTAGCAACTGGTCAGTTTTATTTTTACCTGAAATCAATCAAATATCAACCTTGCACCTTCGATTTTGTCATGACATATCCCAGGGTTACAGAGAACGTAAGTGAGTATAACACTTGGAATTTTGAAGATAAAGACCTGATTTCAGTATGTTTACATACTCTGCCTACCAAAGAATGACTTTTATACCAGACATAGAGGACAAACCTATAGCCTCCTCTGGAAGTACCACTGGGGGACTAATTACTGTTATAAAGCAATGACAAAAAAATCTATTGTTAGTGACAGCAAACTTGAATCTTGGAGTAAGCATGCATAATATGCATACATGAACTGATTCAAAATATCCCAATACTAGACTTATTTTAAGTTTAGCACCTGTTAGAGTGATGACAATAACTAACAGAAGGACGAACGGCATGACACATCTACAGACTGACGAATAAAAAGTTAACTTGAATATAATACCAATTGCTACTTCATAATGGGGGAGTGTACAGTGAAGATAAGTGTATCAGGTCTAAACCCTATTAGTTATGATGTATGATCAGGCCTGACCTCCTTTTCTGCCACATCTGCTCGAAGGCGTCAGCCAGCTCTACATTGGAAATCTCTTCTGCATCCTGAAACTTCAGGAACCCATCACCACCATGGCCTACAAATTATGAATGTATCAAGAAGGTGTCAAATAGAGGAAAGTATTAAGACAAGTGTTAGATTATACAACAGGCTGCAGGCATGTATTACATACAGAAGGACAGGATATGTGTCAAATACAGGATAGAAAGACATGTATGACATGTGTATATATGAGACATGTGTCAAGTACAGGAAAAAAAGACATATCAAATGCATTATGTCAACCACATGACAATAAGAAATCAGAGGTGTTACTTAGTATTCAACACAAAATAATGATCAACTCCTATGGATTTTGTAAAAACACTTATGTCAGATGACTAAAGCTTCATTTTTTTCACTGATTTACACTCACAAGTAAATCATATTCTCTCTTACCAGTCATATAAACAAGTACATTACTCCTCTCATCTGTCAACAGCCGTTTGGACCGCGGTGTGCTTGGTGGCAGTCGACCAGTTAGAACTCGGATGAAGTTCTCCACTGTGACCTGGAACATCGACAAACATATTTTTTGAATTGAACAAAGTGAGTAGAGGCTCATGCTCACCTATATATACACCCCCCTAACCCCCCCCCTCGCAATCTACGCTCAGGTGTATTTAATGTGACCTTGGACCCTTTAATTCTGACCAACAAAACCCATGTAAGGCATTTTGTTGAAGATTCTTATTTGTAAACCACCACTTGGTGTCACTTTTATATTTAAAGCCTGTAGTGAGTCACACCACGACGACCCATCTACCTCATAGCCCCTGTAGTCCAACTCCACATCGTCAGTAAGTCACACCACGACAACCCATCTACCTCATAGCCCCTGTAGTCCACCTCCACATCGTCAGTAAGTCACACCACAACAACCCACCTACCTCATAGCCTCTGTAGTCCACCTCCACATCGTCAGTAAGTCACACCACAACAACCCACCTACCTCATAGCCTCTGTAGTCCACCTCCACATCGTCAGTAAGTCACACCACAACAACCCACCTACCTCATAGCCTCTGTAGTCCACCTCCACATCGTCAGTAAGTCACACCACAACAACCCACCTACCTCATAGCCTCTGTAGTCCACCTCCACATCGTCAGTAAGTCACACCACAACAACCCACCTACCTCATAGCCTCTGTAGTCCACCTCCACATCGTCAGTAAGTCACACCACAACAACCCACCTACCTCATAGCCTCTGTAGTCCACCTCCACATCGTCAGTAAGTCACACCACAACAACCCACCTACCTCATAGCCTCTGTAGTCCACCTCCACATCGTCAGTAAGTCACACCACAACAACCCACCTACCTCATAGCCTCTGTAGTCCACCTCCACATCGTCAGTAAGTCACACCACAACAACCCACCTACCTCATAGCCTCTGTAGTCCACCTCCACATCGTCAGTAAGTCACACCACAACAACCCACCTACCTCATAGCCTCTGTAGTCCACCTCCACATCGTCAGTAAGTCACACCACAACAACCCACCTACCTCATAGCCTCTGTAGTCCACCTCCACATCGTCAGTAAGTCACACCACAACAACCCACCTACCTCATAGCCTCTGTAGTCCACCTCCACATCGTCAGTAAGTCACACCACAACAACCCACCTACCTCATAGCCTCTGTAGTCCACCTCCACATCGTCAGTAAGTCACACCACAACAACCCACCTACCTCATAGCCTCTGTAGTCCACCTCCACATCGTCAGTAAGTCACACCACAACAACCCACCTACCTCATAGCCTCTGTAGTCCACCTCCACATCGTCAGTAAGTCACACCACAACAACCCACCTACCTCATAGCCTCTGTAGTCCACCTCCACATCGTCAGTAAGTCACACCACAACAACCCACCTACCTCATAGCCTCTGTAGTCCACCTCCACATCGTCAGTAAGTCACACCACAACAACCCACCTACCTCATAGCCTCTGTAGTCCACCTCCACATCGTCAGTAAGTCACACCACAACAACCCACCTACCTCATAGCCTCTGTAGTCCACCTCCACATCGTCAGTAAGTCACACCACAACAACCCACCTACCTCATAGCCTCTGTAGTCCACCTCCACATCGTCAGTAAGTCACACCACAACAACCCACCTACCTCATAGCCTCTGTAGTCCACCTCCACATCGTCAGTAAGTCACACCACAACAACCCACCTACCTCATAGCCTCTGTAGTCCACCTCCACATCGTCAGTAAGTCACACCACAACAACCCACCTACCTCATAGCCTCTGTAGTCCACCTCCACATCGTCAGTAAGTCACACCACAACAACCCACCTACCTCATAGCCTCTGTAGTCCACCTCCACATCGTCAGTAAGTCACACCACAACAACCCACCTACCTCATAGCCTCTGTAGTCCACCTCCACATCGTCAGTAAGTCACACCACAACAACCCACCTACCTCATAGCCTCTGTAGTCCACCTCCACATCGTCAGTAAGTCACACCACAACAACCCACCTACCTCATAGCCTCTGTAGTCCACCTCCACATCGTCAGTAAGTCACACCACAACAACCCACCTACCTCATAGCCTCTGTAGTCCACCTCCACATCGTCAGTAAGTCACACCACAACAACCCACCTACCTCATAGCCTCTGTAGTCCACCTCCACATCGTCAGTAAGTCACACCACAACAACCCACCTACCTCATAGCCTCTGTAGTCCACCTCCACATCGTCAGTAAGTCACACCACAACAACCCACCTACCTCATAGCCTCTGTAGTCCACCTCCACATTGTCAGTAAGTCACACCACGACAACCCACCTACCTCATAGCCTCTGTAGTCCACCTCCACATCGTCAGTAAGTCACACCACAACAACCCACCTACCTCATAGCCTCTGTAGTCCACCTCCACATCGTCTCCGTACACGTTAATCTGCTGGTTAGCATTATTGAACACAGTTGCTACAAAACAAGTTAAAGAGTTCACTGAAATAACATTGATCTCCAATTTTGTAAAAACTTCAAAAATATGAATGTTAGCTATGTTAACAGCAATATGCCAAATTTAAACTACGCCAAATTTATGGACTATTGTGGTTTAATATGCACTGGGCTTATCTATCAGGCAGAGAAATTAATGATTTTGATATAATTACATAACAGAGGATTGTGAGATACCTATCTGGCCGAGGATTGTGAGATAACTACCTGGTCGAGGATTGTGAGATACCTACCTGGCTGAGGATTGTGAGATACCTACCTGGCCGAGGATTGTGAGATAACTACATGGCTGAGGAATGTGAGATAACTACCTGGTCGAGGATTGTGAGATACCTACCTGGTTGAGGATTTTGAGATACCTACCTGGCCAAGGATGGTGAGAAAACTACCTGCCCTAGGATTGTGGGATACCTACCTGACCGGGGATTGTGAGATAACTACCTTGCCTAGGATTGTGTAATAACTACCTGGTCGAGGATTGTGAGATCCCTACCTGGCCGAGGATTGTGAGATAACTACCTGGTCGAGGATTGTGAGATAACTACCTGGTCGAAGATTGTGAGATAACTACCTGGCCAAGGATGGTGAGATAACTACCTGCCCTAGGATTGTGAGATACCTACCTGACCGAGGATTGTGAGATAACTACCTGGTCAAGGATTGTGAGATAACTACCTGGCCTAGGATTGTGTAATAACTACCTGGTCGAGGATTGTGAGATACCTACCTGGCCGAGGAATGTGAGATACCTACCTGGTCGAGGATTATGAGATAACTACCTGGCCAAGGATTGTGAGATAACTACCTGGCCAAGGATTGTGTAATAACTACCTGGTCGAGGATTGTGAGATACCTACCTGGCCGAGGATTGCGGGGATTGCATGCCATATCATCTGCCACCATTAAGATGATTTGACTACAGAATAAAACACCATATTATTACGTTTACTGTTTTTAGGAATATTTGAGTTTCAAAAAAAGGAAATAAAAGATATGATATTTGTATTTGAAGAAACTCATAATGAACAAGTGACATTCAATTCTATGAAAATTATTTATTTTGTCTGAGTATAGAAGCAATTTGATGGCTTTGAAAATGACTATTAGTGATCATTAGGTATTTTCATTGCCTCCATTTCGGTACAACATTAGGCCAAACATATAACATGTTTGTTTCCTTTTACTTGTCAGAAATTAGGGTAGGTAGGTAATACATTTTAGTTTTTAATATCTTTTATAAGATTTAAGTTATCCCCATCATCAGCAGTGGCATTGGTACAAGATGGTGGTACATACGAAAAACTAATCTATCACAAATTGTAAACTGATGTTTGATGGAGAAAGGTCTGTTTTGATAAGATCAGGATTCTGAAGTACTTTTATGTATGGAGACTGACCTGTCTGGGATGCCCAGGCGTTTAACACTCCTGTAGATGGACAATACATTAGCCACATGGCGGTAGTTGAACCAAAACTTAGATGTGTCCACCAGCACAGCCCAGTTGTTGGTATGACCACTAGTGAAAAACTCCTCTGGATTTACCTGAAACATAGAATTACTGAATATTTATATGTTGTAGTGAACTGGTTTTGAAAAATACAAAACTTGTCTTCTGAATTTTCTGACAAAGACAATTTGATGTTGCTTGCTCAATCACTTAACTACATCTAGTTGACTTGTACATGAGTTACTGGTTTGTATTTATTAAAATAAGACAAGTCTGAAGATTAAAACTGCATGACACTTGTCTATGAAACAGGCTCAATTATTTAGTTATAACATTTAACTATGTCACCTACACCTGTTTAGATCTCATACATAGTCACAACAGGTTTCTCTTTGGTGTCGTATTTTTAATGCTTTAATACGAGTGTTGTCAAATCTAAGTAAAGTCATGCTGTGACCAGATTAGGCCGTTATGAATTGTTGATGAGGACATGATGTGACCAGGTTAGGTCTCTAAGATCAGTTGATGAGGACTAGATGTGACCAGGTTAGGTCTCTAAGATCAGTTGATGAGGGCTAGATGTGACCAGGTAAGGTCTCTAAGATCAGTTGATGAGGACTAGATGTGACCAGGTAAGGTCTCTAAGTTCAGTTGATGAGGACTAGATGTGACCAGGTTAGGTCTCTAAGATCTGTTGATGAGGACTAGATGTGACCAGGTAAGGTCTCTAAGATCAGTTGATGAGGACTAGATGTGACCAGGTTAGGTCTCTAAGATCTGTTGATGAGGACTAGATGTGACCAGGTAAGGTCTCTAAGTTCAGTTGATGAGGACTAGATGTGACCAGGTTAGGTCTCTAAGATCTGTTGATGAGG